TAATGGAGAAGCACTGGGTGGCAGCCCCTTTGAAATTATCATACTTTTTTTTTTTTTTTTTTTGCAAAGCCCAGGTACTTGGTCCACACAGTGTAATGCAGGTGTATTTTGGACGGCACATTGGTCCATTATTTGTACAAATCGGCCATCTGGATTTTAGTACACGGATTTCAAAGGCAACTGTACATCAGTGGTTTGTGTGCATGTGGTAAGTTCCTGGAAGAACATTATTCTTTTGTGTTAGGTATGTAAGTTCAAGAATCGCATTGTTGCCTTTTAACGCATTCTCTGGGATACTTTTGTTTTTGTCATTATCATCCACATGTGATTATGGTCAGAAGAACCTCCCCTCTTATCTCCCACACCTCATTCGGCCCTCCCTTTTCCCCCTCCCAACCCCCACCTCAGACTTTGCCCACAAAGAATATCTGGACAAATAACAGCTGAAATCTCTCAACACCTTTTGCGGTGCTGTCTGTTCTTCTGATTTGCTATTGGCATGAATCATTGCATGTGAATACATGCAGTGTGGACACTACCACCAGAGTGTGTCACCCCAACTCAATTGTGGGTATAACATACAGCAGCCCTTAATCACAGAATCCTGTCCTGGCTTATCCCTGCCCACAAGGTTGTTTTAACTGAAATACAACTACAGCCGTAGTTGGTTTAGCAATTAAATGACCTTTGAACACTGTTATGGATGAGCCCTGGCAGTTTGAGGCTAGGGCAAAAGCAATATGTAGAACTCATCTCTTGTGGAGATTAGCAATCTTTCCCCAGATTTGGGCAGAAGACTGTCAGAAACTCCAAAGTTTGAGTCAGGGGTCTGTATGACCCGGCATGGCTAATCCACTGTTATTGCTGTGTTTTCAAGACCTCATCTCCCTGTGGTTGACTGGCTGCCTATTTTGCCTTCAAGGTTCTGTACCTTGTATGGTGGAAGGTGACCTGTAGTACACACCTCACCTCTATTCTCTGTGGTGCGCAGGCAGATGAGTTGCTCTGTGCGATGGTATGCAGATCTAGGCATCTTCACCCCACACCCACGTGCGCAGTCCTCGTGGCTCATGCCAGAGCCCCTCCCTGCATGTGAATCTCCAGGCCGAGCCAGTGAACATGTGCGCCCTAAGAGTGAGTGCATCCAGCGTAAATGGCACAGACATTGCACAGTGACATCGGGCCAAAAATCAAAGTCCTTTGGAATCATCCTAAGGGTTGGGTCAGCTGATAAATTTCCAGCATCACTTAGCAACTTGCATTGTGGTCTTTTTGCAAGTAACTTCAGCAACTTTAATACCACACAATCTGCCACTCTGAATGTGACATGTGATGATGATTATTTCATTATTTTAATCATTGTTCCATTTATTGCCTTTAAGGCTGAAGGAAGGGGAAGGGTTTTTTTTTGGGGGGGGGGCGGGTCGTTTTCTTTTTATTTTTTCTTTTTCCCGGTGACTTAAACCACACTTAGTGGCACTTGTGACTTTTCTGCTCCCTAGCCAAGTATTTCAGACTTCGTTTTAGGCTCATGTTTCAGATCTGCATGCACTGCTTGCCTCTTCCTGGTATCTGAATGTTGGGTCCTTGTTCTAGGAATCCAACATTAATTTCCAAAATTATCATGGGACTTGTGACAACACAAGACATGACTCTGTATAAAATGTATCGGCCTTCCTCATTGACCTGCTATAGTATTATTGTGTCGTGTGTGCGTGTGTGTGACGTCTGGCTGCCACGGGAAGCTTCAAAGGAAAACCTTAAAAGCAGACCATCCTTTTTTGCATGCTCTATTCTAAGTAGAATGTTCAATGTAACTAATTAAAACTGCATGTGAAAGGTATTTAGGTTTTTTGTTTTCTCTCTTTGTTTTGATTTGTGTTCAGTTTTCTGTATATTTGCTTACTGTGCTGTTTTAGTGGTTGTAGGATAAAAATGCACTGGTGAAGCAAATGTAGTGCTGGCAGGAGGTGACTTCCAGGTGTGTGTGTCTCGCAGCATTCGAAGGGACTGTGCATTCTTAAACAGTCACAGTTACTTCTAAACCAGATTTCATTTTTATTGTCCTTTTTTGTGCCAAACCCCAAGGTGCATTGGGCTTGAATCTCCGAACGCTGCGGACCCATTAGGAGACTGTTTTGATTGTCACAAAATGTAGTGCCTGAAACATTCTTAAGCTGATTGTCTTAACAAACTAACAAAAAAAAAAAAAAAAGAAGAAAGTTCTCCAAAGACAAAACAGGAACAATTATTATAACAGAAAACAATTATGGTCAAAATGTCTGTGGTTCCTTGGAAATGCTGCGCTCTTTGTATTTTCCATCTTTAGTGCAGTTTGAATGAATGTGTAGACTTCAGAGGTCTTCGTGTTCGCATTTAAAATTAGGTAAATGACCTCATCTTTCAAGCTTGAATTCATTTTTGATTTTAATTTTATTTTATACAATGTGTAGACAGTTCCCTGTTCTCTGCATTTAGAAGTATAAACAATATAAATCTGTTAATTCTGTAAGTAATTTTTATAATTATGATGTAACTCTATCCTATCCTTAAAACATTTAAAATAAACCCTTTATGTGCAACTTTTGACTGTAAATTTTGTGCTCATGAGCAAAATGTGATGTGTTAAACCTGTTTTTAGAAAGTATTTTTAAAGTTTCGTTTTATAATTTTAAGTTATCTACTCTTCCCTCCCCTTTTTTCCAACACATGTAAATGTCAGATATAGGTAGGAACAGAAAGAAATGGAACTTTTATTGGAATCATACTGTTAATAATACCTTGAAGGAAAGGGGCAAATAAATCAATATCCAAATATATCATCCAAAATATTAAAGTTTGTGATTTGCCATTAATAGGAAACATTAATTTATAAAACTAAACTTTGTTTTACATAGAATTAAATAATGTGTATTTTATACTTTGCATCTATTCTCACTTTGTATGTTGCCTGTGATGCTTCTATTAATGCTTCATTGTTCGTCAGTGAGGTTCTGTTGTGAGAAGTCTTCTCTCAATGTTAGAGCGGAGATGTGGCAGCTTTCGTGACTTACGTATGCTGCTACTGCTTCCTGGCCATTTTAGTCAGGAGAGGTTATTTGTGTGTGACTTATTTTATGTTTCCTGTTGAGATAGGCTAATGATCTGGTTGTCAGGCCAGGTGGTGATTGAGGCAGACGTGTCCTGTGAGGCCGCTGCAATCACCCAGGTAATGGGAAGAGGGAAGGCCAAGTGGAGGAGATGAACCAGGAAAGTAGGGGGGTGTGGTGGGGGTACAGACATACCCAGGCTTCGTCTTACCATCTTTTTCCTGAGGCATCGAAGATATGGCTCAGTTAACAGTGCAAAGCAGTGTGCTGAGTGTCTGGTCCAGGATCGCAGGGGACCAGGGGTCGGGTCCATATTCCCATCTGCTGTGGTAACACTGCAAGATTCATTTCCTTCAGTGAGGAACAATAATCTATAGTCTAGTAATTTCTGGGGATCTTTTTATAAGGTCATTTCCTAGCTTGATAGTAAAAATTGTTCTCATTTCCAACTGTTTAA